GGTCACGTGCGTACGTGCTCTCACCGCCATGTTTGCTCTCGCATCGAGTCGCTAAGAATGAGCCAGCTAAGCGGAGTGAACTTTACAAGTTGAGAACAATTTGGACACAGACAATAGATATTGTTATTTGTGGAGCAAATCGCAGACTTTTGAAGGGACTTTTGTTCGGACATGCAGGAGTTTTCTGTCTCTACTCTGCTGAATGTGCGACTGCCGTAGCATTGGTGCTATCTTTGAGCTAATCTGGTGAGTAATAACTTATTTTATCACATTTTGATATCGTTTCTTCATTTAATGAAATAGTTCTCATGTCCGCAGCTATTTCATGCATTTAGTATGAAGAGTGAATACGTGTTTCTGTTGTACTTTTGTGGCAAAGTTAGCCTATTTAATTAATGCAGTTTGCACTATTTAATGTGAAACATTTGAAAAAATATACTCTGGCTTAACTTCTTTCTTTAACTTTCTTTAACTTTTCAAGTATAAAACTAAGTCTTGCTTTAAAATTTGTCTGGAAATGTTACTGGACTGCTTTTGTTTCTCGACCTCCACATGCATGTTTCTGTACAGACAACCGTTAACGTTTTTAAAAGAGGTCTGTAGTAGTTTATTTAGTGCTATCATTTGTTAGACATTTTTGATAGGTAGGTAAACTATCAAAATAAAGCCTGTGTGGAAAATAACCGCATGTGCGCGGTGTTTCTGTTGCTCCTCAACTGTAAATTAACTGTAAAGAAACATTTCTGCTAAAATGTACAGTTTAGCTCATTTTTCTATTTTCTTTGTCTTAAGGCTTAAATACAAGCAACTTGGTGATATCCGGAGTCTTCAATCAGGTATGTATATTCAAAGCACAGACTTTTAATAGACATTTCCTTGTGCACAATCACTGTAAAGAGAAATCCGACTTGTGATGCAGATAAGGAAGTTTATCTAAAACCTGTTCACTGTTTCATCATTCTATGCTTTGTATGTCAAACTTGCTGATTGGACACCGTGTTAGTTATTACAATGGCTTGGCAATGCAAACTTTGTCCTGCTGTGTGTGACAAAAAGGGCACAGTTGCTTGAACACTGTCGTTTGCATCACCAGCATTTAATCCCTCAATCAACCCATTGCCTTGTCTCTTTGATGACTGTATCTGCACATTTCAGTCAATAAATGCATTCAAAATTCATTTAACAAGGTTGCATAATAATAGCAGTTGTGTACCCAGTGAAAAACGAGGTGGGATGTTTGCATTCACATGTCCTTTGTGGATTCAAGCAACCATTTAATGATAAGAGTCTCCTCAGTCATTTAAGGCACATTTAAAACACCATGAAATGGTGGACTGTCCTTTCAAAAACTGTCAAGACCGCACTAATGTCTACTCCTCCTTTAATGCCACAAAAGTAGGACTCATCCAGACAGTGATGTTTCAAATTATAAGAATGAGATTGTCTGTACAGAAACTGAAAGTCAACCAATGCAGAGTCAGGATGAATCTGATAGGGATAGCCCTTTACCACACTCTCCTGAGCTGGATACTCCTGAGTGTGAGCCCTCTGGATCAGAGAGACACTGATGACTTGGAAGGGCACTTCAAAATAATTTGGCTTCTTTCTTCTTGAAAATGAACAGTGTTCTTCATGTGTCAGAGACAGCTACACAGGAACATCATTGAAAATTTGGCACAAATATTCACTTTGTCCAAACTGTTGTGAGAGAAGCTGTTGTCAATAGTTTACAAGAGCATGATCTGTCTGTCAGTGGGCCCTTCTTCATGACCTAGAGGAGGCTATCATGAAAACTAATGTTTTTGTCAATGCTACTTCAGAAGGTGCGGAACTGTCCACTGCTAAGCGGAGGGAAACATTTGTGAGGAAGTAACTATCCTTTGGTAATGCCAGTGCAATACACTTTTGATTCCAGTGAACACACAGCAGTGTATGTTCCCATTCTTCAGATGATTCAAACAATGTTTAAAACTACTGATCTTCTTGAAAAAATTCACGAGGCAAAACCGTCTCCACAGGAATTTACATGTCTCATGAAGATGGAACATATTTCAAAGAGAAATCAGTTATTGTCTGAAACAGGGGAGCTGAAACTGTCCCTGATTTTGTTGCTGTATTGCAGACCAGAAACAGTGCACTGACGTTTCTGAAGGGGAGTTTAGCATGAGAACAAGGGCCTCCCATGATCTTCATGTGCAGAATGTTGTGGAAGAAGACAAAGCAAATCACTTAGGTGTTAAAGGTCAGTGTGCTCTCAGCATGGCATTGCAGCATTTTCATCCCATCACTGGTTTTCCACCTGATATTCTTCACGACCTCTTTGAGGGTGTCGTGCCAGTGAGATGGCCTTGTGCATCCGTGAGATGATTTGCCTGAAGTATTTTCACACTTGAATATCTAAACACAAGAATTCACACATTTCCAGATCAGCACACTGATAGGCTTGATAAACCGCAACAAATTCCAAAGAATCTTTGCTGCCAAGGGCATGAAAATTCTCCACTTTGCTTAGGTTATTACCACTACTGGTAGGAAGTAAAGTCCCTGAAGGAGATGAAACATGGGCCTATTTGTTGTGACCTCAAAGAAATAGTGCAGCTGGTGTTGTCTCCATCTTTCACAGAGGAGTCTTTACAGTACATGCAGACTAAAATCAGTGATCATCGACAGGGACTTCAAGCAGTGTTTCCAGACTTTAAGCTCAGACCCAAGCATCATTATGTTGACACTACCCACAGACAGAAATGACAAGGCGCTTTGGGCCTCTTGTTCACCTTTGGACAATGAGGTTCGAGGGAAAACATCGCTTTTTTAAAAGAGTGATACAGGACACACACAATTTCAAGACTGTCTTGAGAACTCTTGCCACTCACACCATGATGGCGTATCACTGAAGTGCAACATTATTTTCAAACCCCACACACAATCTTCGAGTGTCACCTCTGTCCACGTTGCCACACTGCCTCAAGTGGCAAAAGACTTTATAAGAACAAAGACACAGGACCAGCATATACAATCACAACACAGGTGTCCATTGATGGCACAGAGTATATGCTAATGGTATGTATGTTTCTGCAGGCCAGGCTGGAGACTGACCAAACACTGCTTGTGAATAACTCTGTTTCTTTTCTTTGCAGAAACTACGAGAGCTGGTACAGAGAGCATTTGAGGTGATTTGAGCTGACATCCTCAGACACCTGCTCTGTCATCGAGCTGTCAGAACTAAATGACACAGTAAGTTTGTCTGCATACAACATAGATGGACACTTAATACTGACACAAAAAAGATTTATTTTGATCAGAGAAATCCAGGTGTAAAATGTTATCAGAAGTGAAGAACCATATGGCCTCATGGAACAGTGTGTAGCAAAGTAAGACAGGTAAACTAAAATTTGATATGCCAGTTACGTTTCTAACATTACAAGCCTAGAAAGACTTACCTGCTACACTGTAATGTTTTTTCAAACCCCAGCTTTTAGGTGAATAATATCTGTCTATAACTGTTTCACACAAATACCTATTGTGTATGCATTGTTGAATGCTATTAGTTAATCTGTTCTCTCCCCTCTCTTGTTTTAATAGGTAATCTTCACATACATACTTCCATGGACATTGTCAGGAAGAGACTTTGGCTTCACGTCCAGAATCTGTGACTGAGCTTGAAAAAATGACAAAGAAAAGTTTAAGATAGACTTTGATTTTTGCTAATCATATGAAGATCCAGACTTTGACGGGCAGTTATGTTCCCTTATAGACATTGAAGAGCTTCCACAGAAGGCAGTACTTAAACTTGTAAGATCTCAGAGTGATGCCAGTTCAATTGCATCTGATGACACAATAATATTGCCTCATGCAATGACTCCAGAGAGGACCCAGAGATGGCCGGATGTTTGTCCAGTGCAGCTTTTTCTTATGAAGTAGAACTCATACTTGTTGAGGGAAATTTGAATCATGAGAGAACAGGGAAAACCCTGAAGTTATCAAGGGGACAGAAGCATGACATTTTCTGAAACCCTTGCATCCAAAATGCATAGCTTTAAAGCATATCCCAGTGATAAAGACATTTCAGTGGTTGCAGAAGCGCTTGTCACCACCCATCCTTGTCTTAAAGAACCAGGAACGCAGACAGGATGGTATGGTTGGAAAAATAGTCTGAAGTTTAAGATGGGTAACTTCTGCACTAAGTTGAGTCGGGCAGGATATAGTGAGGTAGCTGTAAATTCTGGAAAGAGAAGCAGAAACAACCCTGACAAACAATCTCCCCACACTGACATAAAGAGACCAAAAAGGGCAGAAGTGAATTTTCTCCCCAACTTTCCAAAAGGAGAAGATGGTTCAAGCCTTGAGCGACAGAGACTCCAGATTGTAGATGAAGTTATAAGGACTGACAAAAACCTCCCTCTGATTGCAAAGTTGATGGCAGACCACCTTTCCCTGCGACGCAAAGAGGTCATCAATGATGACTTGCCTGTTGGAGAGATCCTGGAGTTTCACAGAATCACAAACATCAACCACTGAAGAACCACTTCTATTCTGAGTTAGACAGACATGTCCCTCGTCTTCAGAGTTTGTTCAGGAAGAAAGCTGCGCGCACAGGGAAGGTGTCCGAAGTCCTGGATCAGCTCTTCAACACTTATGACCGCCAGGTGAGTTGATTATCCTTCTTCATGCATGATAATAATAGAACCTGTTGGAACTCCCTATCTTCAGATTACATTAGGGCCAAATGATGATGCCATCGTTGATAGCTGACAGTCTTCTATCGTGAAAGACTGTTTGGAAAAAACACGACCAACAATAGAAACAATAAATGTCATCAAGTGTTCCGCTTTTGATATTGTCATTTGACAGTTTGGTAGGCATTACCTAATCGTATTCAAATACATCATATAGGGCTATTTCTTGTGATAAATTCTGTTCCTTCCCTGTTTGGCATTTCAAATTAAGATGATGTGTTTCTCATCTTAAGGAACAAGTTGACGTCAATGTCCTCCGTGCTGCGTCCTCCGTGCTCTCCCTACATATCTGCATGAGGATGACTCCGGATTTCTGAAGCTGTGGGATGTAAGTCAGCATATTATTAAGACTTGTAATGAATCTGTTGAACATGTTATATATTTCATCTGTTTTATTCAGATGCTGTCATTTTGGTGTATGATTGCCATGATATTAAAAAGTGAAAAAGATTAATATAGTAATAATTGTCCTGCAACATCTACAGTAGGCTTAATCTTACCTGTGAGGAATTAGTAATTAAACTTTGCATTTACTGGTCAAACCTCAATTCATGCTGCAGTTTTTAAAATTCCATTTAAAACCTGCAGAGCGATGGAATAGTATGCTAAACAATATCAACATCTATAGTGAGAATAAATGCAATATAGTGATTGTTTAAAAAAAGCTTGTCAGTTGAGTCATTGTCTTTCAGTACCATTTAGCTTTGATTGTTTTGAGGCCAAAAAAACAAAAAGGGGGATAATTACTAATTTAAAGTGGTGAATTAAGAAATCCCTGAATAGCAATAGGGTAGTGTACTTTCCATATTTTTCCGCTGATCAAGAAACATAAACAGCTTTTGGTACATTGTCATTCTATGGGAAACACTGAAGCTTAGGCAGTTGATTTGTAACATTTCTCTGTCCTTGTCTTTAGCAGGCCCTGTCAGATGAACTGCAAATCGACAACATACCAGTTGGGCTCCTCCTGATCAGTGCCACTTCAACAGATGCTGCGGTATTCTGCCCCGAGAAGGTTGCCGTTGTGCTTGAGGGTAACACAGTTGAAAAAATGCCCGTTGAACTCAAAGTTTAATGGGTTTCTGTTGGAAATGCCTGGGTTTTTCGTGTTGATGTACAGAACTATAGGGTAAACCTTTTGTCATTTTGCTGAAGTTGGCATTTCTTTAGTATATCTGTGTATTAAGTTGTCAACTATTCTTAAAAGTTACTGTGTTTCTGAACTATTTTACAATAGTTGTTGCTGTGTCTTTCTGATACAAAATTGGACTTTCTCTGGTTGAAGTTTGATATTTGTTTATTTTGCTCCTGTGTTGTGTCATGAGGACAGGTCTGGAGATACAATGTTTACTCAGATATATGTCATTTGAATGTTTTGTCATGCTGCTGTTTTGAAAGCCTATGAGTTGGTTCCTGAGGCATATAGGCAAAGATTTAGAAGCTGGAGGAAAGGTGATGTACAGACTCACGTAGAGTTTGCACGGATATTTCAGCTCACTTTGCACGCTGGTGTCCTGCCTCGGAGGTAGATCATTATGATGATTTGTGTAACCTTATGGTATTGGAACAATTTAAGGACTCTGTTCCACACCACATTGCTGTACACATCAATGAGCGTAAGGTTAAGACAGCTTCAGCAGGTGCAGTGTTGGCAGATGAGTATGTGTTGACTCATGCTGGTGGCTCAGAATGGCGCTGGGGCGTAAAGGACAATGTGAAGTTTAGTCCAGGAAAGTTTGTTGGGGCTACTCAGGGTTCTCAGGCCAGTTTCAGAAGTGTACCAGGTACGGATGGTAGATTTGATCCAGGTAAACTGTGCCATTCATGTAAAAATAAGGGTCATTGGAAAGGGGAGTGTCCAATTTCCATGTCGGAACAAAAGTCAACCGATCCAAGTGTGTATATGAAATCTGCTGGTCTGGTGGCTTCACTGTCATCAGTGCAGAGTCTAATGGTGCCAGGAACATCTCCTGAACTGCCATCAAAGGGGGTTGATGAAATGTATGCCCCTTTCATGTCACATGGGTTTGTGTCTCTGAATGATGGTGAGATGAAACCTGTAAGTATTTTGAGGGATTCAGGGGCGTCCCAGAGTTTCATTTTGGAACGTGTGTTGCCGTTTTCTTCTGCTACAGACACTAGGGAGACGACTCCCGTTCGGGGAATTTCTTTGGTTCCTTTGTTTGTGTCATTGCATCGTCTTAGCCTGTGTTCAGATCTGGTAAAAGGGGAAGTGGTCATGGGGGTACGGAACTCATTGCCATTGGAGGGTGTGGATGTTATATTGGGTAATGACTTGGCGGGGCAAGAGTGTGGAAAGATGATCCACCTTCTGTTGGGGTAACAGCATCACCCGAGTGCTCTCAAGGTCCGGATGAGTGTGCTAAACAACATCCAATGATTTTTCCTGTTTGTGCTGTGACTCGGACAATCAACTTCAAAGAGTTGGGGAGGTTTTTGGATATGGTGGGTATTATTGGGGGTTTTGCCCAAATTTTGCGACTGTGGTGGCCCCATTGACAGACCTTTTGAGTAAGAGGACGGTTTTTGTGTGGTCTCCTAAATTTGAGGATGCTTTTGTTACGGTGAAATCCTTGCTCTGTTGTTCTCCTATGCTTGCAGCGCCAAACTTTGAGAAGCCCTTTAAACTTCAGGTGGACGCAAGTGGAGTTGGTGCAGGAGCTGTACTGTTGCAAGAAGGGAAGGGGCTATTGATCATCCAGTCTGCTTCTTCTCCCGTAAGTTCAAACGTCATCAGTTCAATTATTCAGTTGTGGAGAAGGAGACGTTGGCACTTACTTGGGCTCTAAAATTTTTTGAAGTGTATGTAACTTTAGGGTCTGCACCAGTTACTGTATTCACTGACCAAAACCATCTGACCTTTCTGTCCAGCATGCAAAACAGCAATCAAAGGTTGAGGCGCTGGTTGTTGTTTTTACAGCCCTACAACTTTAATATCTGTCACCTCAAGCGTAGGGATAATGTAATGGCAGATGCTCTTTCTCGGGAAGTAGTTTAATGTGTACGTACACCCAAGTGTACGTTCTTTATGGGGGGAGGTGTGACGGCCCTGGCCATGGTGTTTGGCCTGGTACTGCTTGTGTTTTGTATTTCAGGGTTTGGCGTCATCTGGTGGTTGGCGGTGGCATGCCTGCTGGTCGTGGGGAGACTCGCCAGCTGGTCGCGGGAGACTCGCCCACCTGCCTGCTGATTGCGGATGGGCTTCACCTGGGTGGAAGGGCATACAAACCGGGCTGCCAGAGCTTTCAGGGGTTCCTCGGGACAGATTGGACTTATCTCCCTCTGCTCTTGCATTTTTTTGGTGGTTCTGAAATAAACTAAAACCTAAGCAAGTTGACTGTGTGGACCTCCATTTTGAATGTTAGGGCCTACACGAGCTGGCCGTAACACTAGGAGGCTGCCACAAAGAGCTTGGTAACGCTGATCATTAGGAGGCTGCCACAAGAAGCTTGGAAAAGTTGATCAAACTGCAAAAGATGACAACACATTAAGTTGTGAGTGCAAGTACCAGAATACCCAGAAATGCAGACAAGTCGAAATTGAATTAGAGCTCTGACCAATGAAAAGAGATAAAATTTGAACATTTAGAATGGACTAGCAATTATTTTACAAACAAATAAGCTTCAATAACTAAGATCAAGTCATGAAATTATTTTAAATTCTGCCATTTTATTAAAATATCAAACACACAGGAACAACATTAACCTTCCTGCATGTATTCACTGACAATCTGTAACCTAGAATGTACATTTACTGCTTAACCGACAGCTTTACTGAAGGAGAGTTAAATATGAATGTCACAGCAAAGGGTCTGAATACTTATGACCATGTGATATTTCAGTTTTTCTTTTTTAATAAATTTGCAAAAATTTCTACATTTCTGTTTTTGTTCTGTCAAGATGGGGTGCTGAGTGCATATTAATGAGAAATAAAATGAACTTTTTTGATTTTAGCAAATGGCTGCAATGAAACAAAGAGTGAAAAATGTAAAGGGGTATGAATACTTTCTGTACCCACTGTATATTGGTAAGTATTCATTTTTTTGAGCTGTAGTACTTTAGACTGTACCGCTGGTGTATTCAGTGCTGTTTACCAAAATTCGTGCAATGTTGATGAGGGCGAACTTTACTTTGAAAGTCTGAGTTTGCAGACTAGCTTGGTAACACTTAACATGGCCACTAGCTAGCATAATAGTCCAGACATGAACATAGCAGTCGCAAAACTGCAATTGAGAAAGGCAAAAGAATTGTGAGGCGAATGAACTTGCCCTCACTTATTATTTTACTTAAGATAGGTGTGAGGAGCGTGAGCGGGGAAGATTGTGGCCTGTTGTCTGCCCGGACACCGCGGTGTCTCTCTGCGTTCATACCGACCAGCGGATTACTTTCCCCTGAGAGCTGGACGGTGAACCAAGAATATTTATCTAACTATTTGTTGTGCGTGTTTAAACCTGTTCAATAGCAGTGTTTCCCTTACCAAAGACCGAACTTCAACCTGCAGACGGTTTCCCACTGATATGGTCCACTCCAGCCAGAAGACGTTATGCTAATGAGTTATGCCCGCGAAGATGGTATCGCACATGCGCAAAGGGCGGCTCCACATTCCAACTCATTTATTTTGTGTCATCAAATCCATCCCATAGGGTAAATTGTTATACATTTTATGTTTCACTGATTAAATATATATGTGTATATTATCAAACTAGATATTTTTAAATAAATCCAACAATACTTAAGTGTGTCACATCTAAGAAGGGCTTGAATCAGTTTTATGAGTGTTGTTAGTTTGGTTATTGGTTTTTGTTTTTGCTGTTATTTCTATGTGCAAATATTTGTAGGTTTGTTTTTTTGTCCACTTTATCACCAATAAAAAAATGTTATGTAAAAAAAAATCTTATTACCCATAATCCTCTGCTTGTAAAGAGTGTGTATTGTTTAAGTGCGTTTACAATGAGGTTTATAATCCAAAACAAATATGAGGGCTGATTGATTTTTAAGGTCTTTATCATGTCTGAGCTGCTTCAGTGAAGTGTGTCAGTCTCTGCAGAAACTTCCAGCTGCAGCAGTCAGTTCAGTTTCTGTTCAGTCTGACTGAGGGAGGTTTTTGTACGACGCTTTTTCACTGTGTGAACACATCTGACTGTTGATATAGTGATAACTCTGACAGTAGTAAACTGCTGCATCTTCAGTCTGGACTCCACTGATGGTCAGAGTGAAGGCAGAGTTTGATCCACTGCCTGAAAAACGATCTGGAATCCCTGATGCTCGAGTGCTAGCAACGTAAATGAGGAGTTTAGGAGTTCCTCCATCTTTCTGTTGGTACCAGGCTAAATGGTATGGCTGCTATAAAAAACATTCTGACTGGTCTACATGAGATGGAGACGGAGGCTCCCAGAGCAGAGGTCACTGCTGCAGGCTGAGTCACTGTGACCTGTCCTCTGGACTCTGAGGATACAGAGACAAAAACAGAAAGCAGCATCAGGGTTTAGTGGGCTTCATTTCAGAGGGACGGATGTTCATAGAGGAGAGGAGTTTGATTCTCTGGACTTTACCTGTGAAGCAGCAGAGGAGGAGAGTCCAGATGAGGACGCACATCAAAGTCATGTTTTTGATGATGAGGACGAGGATTTCTGTTGTGATGAAGGACAGCTGTCAGTCATCCAGTGTTCAACTGTCAGGACTATAAAGTCTCCCAGAGCACTGGAGCATGGTGCTGCTGATGCAAAGTGGCTCTCTATGGAAATGTTCTGACTGACTCCAACAGGGATCACTCTCATTACTCTGTTTATCAATCAATCAATTAATTATACAATTCATTAGAAAACTTTCAAAACAACTTTAATATGATTTCATGTTCATGCTTCTAGAAACATTTATCCTGATATAAATCAGGAGTTGTAATTAATAATATTCTTGAGAAAATGATTTAAAAATAATTCAAAGATTTAAATATCTCAAAGAAAGACATTCTTTAATCTGTTATAATCTTTTTAGATTCTGTTTTCATTTGGTCTCAGAGGTCTTGCAGGCAGAGACTCATTGAGGTGTCTGTGTTTGTGTCAGAGTCAGAGAGCCGTGTGTCTCTACAGCGAGAGGTTTTTGTACGACGACTCCATCAGTTTGTATCACTGTGGCACGTTCGGTGGAGGAACCAGACTGGATATTGGAAGTAAGTCACATATTCAGCTTTTTATTCAATCAGTAAGTTATTCTGGTGTCTTTTGTCTTCATATTCAAGCCTGGAGGAAAAGAAAATACTGACCTTTAACTTTTAAATCGTTTGTTTTAGAAAGAATAAAGACAACATTTGACTTTAAAGGATTTCAGTTTAAAACAGAAACACAGACTGAATTTAAATGAAGGTAAAATGTTTGAAGCCAGAGTTTTTATTTGTTGGGAAATAGATGATTTTCACTCTCATGGTAAGGTGACATGTGGAGTTGTGGTAGTTTGAGTTCAGTGTGTTAAAGTCAGAGAGCCGTGTGTCTCTACAGTGAGAGGTTTTTGTACGGCCGCTCAATGACTTTGTACCACTGTGGTGGACTTTTGGTGGAGGAACCAGACTGGATGTTGGAAGTAAGTTTCTGTATGAATATTAAACCTAATGTTAAAATACAGATTTTTATATTTGATCCACATAAATCACACTTTGACAACCTCAAAGACAGCTGCTAAATAATGTTCTATTCAGGTTTTTCTAACAATCGATATGGACGCCTTAATGACTGAAACAACTGAATGAAAATCATCAAATCAGCTTTTTTACTGATAATGTTAATGACCAGGATTTTAAATTGTCTAGTGGTTTATGTTTATCAAAAGAAAAGAGAGGAAAACATCTAAATGAATGTGTTTTAGCTCAAAGAAATATTTTAAATCTGTTAAATAAAGTGTGATATCATCAGCATAGAGAGATATCAAATCAGTGCTACTACAATTCAAACACTGACAAAACTACAAAGTAGATTTATTCAGATTTTATTTATATGTATGTCTAATATATATCTTCATGTGTTTGTGTTCAGCAGCTGTCTCTCTGTTTATTCATCGTTAAACTCTAACTCTAATGAACTCTTATCATGTTTTTATCGGTCCTGCTTTACCGTGATGGTTCACTCAGGACAGTTTGATTTCTGTCACACTGAAACATAAACAAGTTGATGTTTAACAAAGAGAGGTGTTTTAAATGTTTTCCTCAGATTCATTTTCTGACAACTCTTTAAGGTATTTTTCTGATACCTTATTTTTGATTAGAATTCATTTGAAGAACATTTGATTGTGTTCAGTTGATTCTGTTTTAGTTTGTTTTACCTACAAACTGTTTTAAAATGTGTTGCAAAGTTTTTGGATTATTTTGATGGGGAATGTTTGTAATGTTTTAAATTGGATTCAGATGTAGTTTAAATATATTTCAGGTCGTTCTGTGTGATTCTCTCTCTGTGTGCTGATGTGCATGAGAGGCTTCTTAAAGGGAAGTGAAACAATGTGTGAGTGAGTGACCGGTGGAGCAGAAAGAAACATCTGACAGAAACTCCTAAAAAAGAAAAATCAACTCTCAGACATTAAAGGTGTCCTATAGGGTGTGGTGTTTGATTGACAGCTGTGTGCTCCCTGTCCTCTAATCTGATTGGTGTCTCCTATAGGTGATGTGCGTCCCACCCTGACGGTGCTGCCCCCCAATGAGG